AGACACAGAGCAGGCCTGAGAAAAAGATGGTATACTACCTAACAGACGCAAGGCCTCCTCGTCGGACGCACATTCGAGCAAAGCCTTTGTATTGATGAGCCTCAACTCCTGGAGAATCTCCCCGTTCTTGTCGAGGATGAAGTTGCCGTCGGGCATCACATATTTCGCAGGAGTGAAGCTGGCCACGAAGGCCACCAACCTTTGGTAGCCCACCCGATCCTCTGCATCCAAAGTGCCTGCCCGCACGATGTAGTGATCTATGCTCTGTTTGAAATACTCCTCTGTCCAGTTCAGGGGAACCTTCGACACCATTACCTCTTTCTGTTGCCCACCCACCTCCCGGACCTCATGACGGAATAACGAGGTGCAGGCCTGATAAGACATAGGCCCGACCACGAAGAATCGATCCTTGAAGGTCCGGACAGAGTCCATATACGCTCGGAATAACCTCCTCGTCTACTTCAAGGACACCCAACCCTGTCAGCCGTCAATCATTTGTATTTGCAGATGAAAGAGCCGAAAGAACAGAGTGAGCGTGGTCTCGATCCGAAGGTGCCGGCAAACGAGCTCATATGCCCGGACAAAGGCAATCGCATTGGGATGCAACTGCGAAGGCGCCAGCCTCAACCAGTCAAAGACCCCTATTTGAAAATCTGAGAAGGGCAGGCGGAGTCCTGCCTCACGAAAATAAAACTCATATATAGGAAACCACATCTTCCCATAGCTTGAGCAGATCCGATGATGGGCCCGCGACTTATACACTTGCCAATTTGCAGAGGAACCCTCACGACGATCCTCGACCGTGGCAAACGTGTCGGAGTCATCCTCAACAAAACGGGAAGTAATACTCAAGGACTCTTCCCCAGCCCAGTCTTCGACTGTCCGACTCTGCCCCTCGACAGGAGGGACCGCCGGAGACTCCAGCTCTTGGTCGACTTCTATGAGTCCATGTATCCACGTAACCATATTCACCTGAAAAGCAGAGGAAAATGGTGAATTCGATGTTTCAAGATCAAATTCACCCTTCGACCACAACTTAAGTGAAAGGGCGAAGGGGACGACATCTAAGACCTAGGTTCCTCCAACCTCGAAATCCACTTCCCCGCATCATTTACTATCATATGTCCCTGGGGAATTCATCTAGACCTATCATATATCCCTAGGGAATTCATCTATATCTATCGTACATCCCCGGGTTAATCATCTAGACCTATCATATGTCCCTGGGATACTCATCCAGCCCTATCATCTGCCCTCGAAGAGTCCATCTAGAACTACTACGCGTCCCCGGGAGCACCATCCTAGACCCACCCTTAGCTAAGGGAATCCCTCCGTAATCGCCGGAAAACCCGCAGCCTCCTCAGGACACTCATCGTGTCCGCCGTAGGAGTTGCCGGAAACTAAAGAAACAGAAGGAAAGGACGAATAGACTTACTTGGCACAATAGTTTGAGTAAAGACGCGGCGGACTTTACGGTGGACGATACGGCGGTGGCGATTGCACAACGATGTAGACAGTGGGGGAGCAGGAAACAATTCTGTTCGTTAGAGTTGGGAGTGAAAAGTGACAAAGGGGCAGACCCTAGCCTATTTATAAGTCTAGCACGAAACTCGAAGCGCCCCTAGGCACTCAAGTACCCTTACAGCTAGTCGCCCTAGGAGGGAGAATGAGCGCCTGACACGTGGCAACCGTGATAAACCGTTCCCCTTTGTTTTCCTTTGAACTCAGAAAGCCAGTGCGCCCGGTCACCTTTCGCCTCCCCAACATGATGTTCCAACGAGCGCGACTCTCGACCCCATCTTTCGGGCATAAGACTACCTTTCCTATTTGTCCTTGACCTCGACTTATCCTTAAGTCGTCACTCCTCCACCTCGGAGCAATGACTTGGGAGATTCCTGTTTTGGACTGGGCCGAGACCTGCCCCTCAGCCGGGCAGACCCAACCCAACACTATGCTGATGAGGCCCAATCCCCCTTTGTCGAGCACAAGCCTCAACAAGACATATATGTTGGGAAGACAACTCCCTTGACGGGGAAGCTCACGTGCTTCCCCATGTTCTCCACGTGCTCCCCCATGCGAGGACATGTCATCAAGAAACTACCCACCTCCGAAAGAGTTGGTCAACCCACGTTCTGAAGATCACGGGGAGTTGATCCAGGGCGAAGACCACATGCTGGTCTTCACTACGCCACGTGCTGATCTTTTACTCACGTAAGCATCAGAGTGCCTTGCAGGTACACCCTCTCTTTCTCCACAACTCCAGTGAAAACAACAATCCAACGACGCGTGACAAACCATTGATTCTTTCTGATCAGGTAAAATCATAAACCATCATGATAACATGCATGTACATTTTATAACGGTTGCAGTTAAACACCATGGTGAAAGATATTTTAGTTTTAAAATAAATATTATGATTATAAGTAACACGCCCATTTTGTAACAAAAAAAACTGCTGGTGCTAGGATTCGAAGTATGTATACCTTAACATATCACCACAATTACTAATATGGACCGTAGTAAAATGTCTTACTAATAAAAGAATTTTTTTTATGCCTAAATAAGAATCTTACTACAGCTAGCTTAATGACCGAGGTAATAACATTTTAGACTTGGCTTTTATGGAAATGATGATACTTTGATCTATCAATTCTATATGACTCTATGGACAAATACATATTTCTTATTCCATCTTCTTTAAATTCAGTGTTAACATATTCCGTAAGAATCCTTTTGCGGGAGGTGTTCAATAGGGTGTAAAAGTCAAATTTTGAGCGAGATCTTCGCTTGTGTTTTTCTTTAGGTTTATCAGTTTCTTTGTTCGTTGTTTTCCCAGATCCAGGGATACTCAACCCCTGGCCTCCTCTGTCGACTGATAGTTTTTTTTTCATACTTCACAGGGTTAAGCCCTGGTTAACAACTCATTCAGGTCGCAGGCTTATTTGCATCCCAGCTTCTCTCATAATATGTTGTCAGATCAGAGTCCTCTTTCAAAAATCCAACATTTGACACTTTCACCAATTCCACCTACAGTTATTGCCACCTTGATAAATTGGTTGTGGAGGATGAGAAGTAGGTAGAGGACAATTTTCTGCGGTGCTGATTGCTGCCGTAGACAGACATTAAGTGATGGAGCGAGTAATTTTTGGTGGTGTCATTTCTTAATAGTTTGGGTGAAACGAAATTTAGTCACAAATTCGGTAGAATGAATTAAGAGCGTAGATTTACATCCTGATCGGGATGATTCTAGGTATGAGATCAAGAAATCCTGGTGATCGTAGGATTCCGATGTTGGATCCCACAGACGTCACTAATTTTCCACGCGAGAACAAGATACACCATCAATCGTCAAGAACTTTCAGTTAAGGATACTTTTGGAAATTTGAGAAAGATACACCATTAGAGAAAGAAAGACAGAGAGAAGAGTGAAACTTGAGGAATATGAGCTGGATACGCATCAATCGTAGGGAAATTACCATTGATGCTCATCCATATTTATTTCTTCTCATTTGTAATCAAAGTTACTATGCAAATAAGTAGCTAAATCTTCTTTTTTGTTGGGATTGAATATAATCCATCAATACCGTATGTATGTTTGTTGATTACATCAATATATAATCTAGTTATTCATCACTTATCGTTGTTATCTTTGTTTTATTGTTTAACTTTATAGATTGAAATTGTTATTGAAAAATAAGGTTTAAATCTTGATCTAAGATAACAATCTGTTAAACTCTAAATGTTTGACATAGATTTAGAGTTAAACATTCACATCGAGTATCAAATCTTAATGCTACTAAATTGTTTAATAGATTGAGACATCGTCGATTAAACAATCAGGTAGAAATTTCGGCAGAAGTTTAGACATAAATACTGTTGTGAGCGATAAGCGAGGATAGTGATTGATAAACGAGGATGGTGATTGATAATTAGGTTATGTATAAGTGATTAATAAACTATGTACACATTTGATGGATGAAACCTAATCCCAGCAAGTTGTGTTATCTTCGAAACTTCACTTATCAATTATCGTTTTTACATTACTTATTTTTTACAAACAAACAACTCGACAACTTTTCACTTAAACTATATTAACTGTTGAACGACATTAATATCGCATCAGTCCATGTGAATTTGATAAACAAATACTTACTTTTGATGTTGATTCCTAGAACCATTACTTAAGTTAGTGTATAAAGTGAATAAAATTTTTTTTAAATGGGAGTAAAATTTTCTCAAAATGGCGCACTTCACTTCCTTTTTATAGAGGAACTGACATGTGAATGGAGTTCGAAAAATGCGGATGACCTTAGGATGACCTCTGGAGACAAGTTTGCTAACTTATCCCTAAATAATATGGAGTTCATCCCGTTGGACCATATTCATGATAGTAAAAGTTAAATTTCTTGAGAAATAAGCAAAGTTCTCCTTGCTTTAGATATAGGCCTTAAAGGGTTTTGGTTCTTGTTCCCGTCTTTTGTTTTGTTCTATCTTTTTAATATATTCTTAGCCTATGAGGAGGAGTAGGAGTGGGGACAACCACCAAATCTAGGACAGTCGAACCCTCTTAAGACACAAAGTAATGTACTTATTACAAAGCAATATTGGACAGTCTTTTCTTCTAAGTGTGACAGTTCTCACAAATATTCTTCTTCTTCTTTCAACTTTCTGCTTAGTTTTTATTCTTATCTTATTAATTATTGTTTGGTAATCCTTTTATTAATTTAATCTAAACACTTTCAAAGACAGCTATTCTTTATATGTGTCTGTCACTAACAGTGTATGCAAAGCAAAGCAATCTCATGCACTATATGATCTGAATCATAAACACTGAGCTACTTTTTTATTAGTACACAATGTCATTTGTTGCTTCACTTGCAAAATTCACAATCAAGACTTTGCATGCTTGTTCATTCCATCATCTCTATAAATAGAAGCTTCTAGTTTTTCTCTGTTCATTCTTTTATCAAATGAGTAGTAGAAGCTGTTTCTATAAAGATATGGAGAAAAAGATAGTAGTGAAATATAAAGAGTGTCTCAAGAACCATGCAGCTGCAATTGGTGGCAATGCAACTGATGGATGTGGTGAGTTCATGGCTAGTGGAGATAATGACACACTTGAAGCTCTTATGTGTTGTGCTTGTGATTGCCACAGAAACTTCCACAGAAAAGAAATAGAGTCTGATTCTCAACATTATGCTCTTTCATTGATTCCTGATCATAACATTAATGCACCCTTCTTGCCTCATTTATCTCCGATCAAAAGTGAATCGAATAGTCCTTCTGATCAGTCTTACTATGAGAAAGATTGTATAAAGGAGGTGGAATATCGAGCCGAAAAGATGATAAAGAAGAGGTCTAGAACCAAGTTTACTAAAGAACAGAAGGAGAAGATGTTGTGTTTTGCAGAAAAAGCTGAATGGAGGATACAGAAGCTAGAAGAATCTGTGGTGCAGATGTTTTGTCAAGAGATTGGAATCAAGAGAAGAATACTCAAAGTGTGGATGCACAATAACAAGAACACTTTTGCTAAGAGAAATGTTTCTAGTATTATTTAAATATATATAGCATGAGCCCCTTGTTAAAGAAATGAAACTCAAACATGGTCTTGTGCAGTAGTCTGTCTTGTACGCCCTCACAGATGGCCCAGAAACACGGTTTAGAGGATCTGATGTATCTAACTTTATGGTTAAAAGAAATGAAATTCAGCCAATATGTGATGCTTATAGATATATTGATACATGAAAGGTTACCACTATAATAATACAGAAAATACATCCCACCCAACAAGAACAATTTAGAAGAAACCATACACATACACTGATACACATTTAGTTTACATTATATCACATGCTTATATAATATTATTTATAACTAACTAATGACAATCATTAACCATAACAACTATTAGTTAATTTTGCGGCAATTGTCTCGAACTTCGCCATTAGAACCTTGTTTAATATCAAGCAAACCCATCTTCACCATCGCGCGTTGAAAATCAAGAAAAAACAATGCTTCATTCATTGCATAAGCATTCACAAAGTTCCATGTTCTTGGACTAGTGTAGAGGTCTTGATCTGAAAACAGAACACCATTTCTCCTCAACAAAGCGTTAAAGTAAACATTGTCAAAATCGTTCCTCGTTGCATCGAATGGTTGTTCCGCGTTGTCACCAGAGCTACATGTTCTAGATAGTGTCTTTGCAAATTGTGAATCCAAAGCTGGATCCACTTGGCTTAATCTGTTCTTGAAAGATGAACACCTTGCCACTCCTAATGTATGTGCCCCTACATACAAAAATATTTTTATCATGACAGTCATGAATGTTCAGAAATAATACGAATGAGTATCATACAAGTGTCAGACACAGAGACGCTGAAGTGTCTGGGATTCATACTATGATGTATGTGATTAATTACCGGAGAGAGCGACCATCTCTTGCGCTGAAAAACCATGTAGACCAAACTGCCTAATGAGCTCAGAAGCATTGAAGGTAGGTGATGGCAAATTTCTAGTATCCTCAATTTTCGATCTTCTTCCGTCTTTTCTTCCTTTAGGTATGTTATAAACCGGACCTCCAGCCTATATATAATTCAAGATTTATCTATGTTATGAACATCAATTTCATGATATATTTATAAATTAATAACAAGCTATCTTACATAGAAAACAGCTTCTGTAGCAGCCATAGCAAGAATATCAGCACATGAAACCACGCCAGGACATCGTCTTTCAAGTTCATCTTTGATGTCATCTATGACTTCATAACCTCTTAAACTCAAATTTGCTGGTGAGTCCTTTTCTGCTGTGTTATCCTTAGTGGAATCAAGTAGAATTGACCCATCACATCCCTAGTGGCATGACATGAACAAAAATAAACAATATTTTTATATCACACATAGTAACATGAATTAATATATAATGTAGAAAATGGAAGCAATATATTGATAAAGTTTGTTTGACTTATAGCTGTAGTTGAATGATGACATGATATTGCACCACATGACATAATACCTTAATGGTGGACATTTTCGCGACAATAAATAGTTGAGCAACCACTAATTGTAACAGTCTTGCATCAAAACAATACATGACGTGAACATGTATTTATAAATGAGTGCAATTCTCATCCTAAGTCAACTCATGCATTTTTAACACGGTATCAGAGCTTAGTTTAAGGTTTTTGAAGCACCTGCTATTAAATTGTGCATGCAACATGATGCATGCCATGTCATGTGTACGAGTGTTAAGCTATATAGTATCTAGAGAAAGAGAGAGGAGAGAGAGAAGGACCTGAATGAAGCAGTCATGGAAGTGCATTCTAATAAGAGCAGCTGCAAGGGTAGGATCATTGTCCAAAGCTCTATTCACTATGTTCTTAACAACAGGTTCAACAAAAGGGCAACTCATCAAGTAGTAGTTCATGTTCAACCCACCATCTGCTCCAAATCCGAAACCGAATTGGCACGTAATCACCTCTATTAGCATAAACACTGTCATCAACTTAACCATTACCATTTTCAATGACTTCATAGATGTTTTATACATCATCTTTGAAGAGGAAACTATGAATTTTGGTTTATGAAAGCTAATAACTATGAACTTGTATATATAGCCAGTGGGCAATAGTTGGCAAAATGATTATATAATGCAAATGATTATAAAATGCAGACCAAAAGATAAAAATAGTAAAGTAATTTGATAGTGGTATATACTTTATCTTTTGGCCATGCACTATACTATGTGATTTCTTCTTGAGTCCTACCTAATCACACTAGTTAATATTGAATAATGTGTTTTGGATTTATAAAACTGATTAAGTTATTGTTTGATTGCATGAAAGTTGACATGTAAGGAGTTTCACCTTGGATGATTGTCGAATGTGTGTTTGCCAGATCAATAATCCATACATTATTGCAAGTTTTTTACATTGACTTGAATTGTGTGATAAAATGATGAAAACCTTGAAATTAACTCATTGTAGTGATGAAACCTAGCTGCTAGAAGTTACTTGAGATAAGGCATGTATGTTTTAAATTTAAACAAATGATTTTTTTTAATTTAGAAAAATAGATTATGTAAAGTTGTTTTTTAAAATATTAAAAGTTATATATATATATATATATATATATATATATATATATATATATATATATATATATATATATATATATATATATATATATATATATATATATATATATATATATATATATATATATATATATATATATATATATATATATATATATATATATATATATATATATATATATATATATATATATATATATATATATATTTGAATTAAAAGACTAATTTTAATATTTGATAGCATAAACATATATTATTGAATATCAAAATATAGTTGAAATTATAATTTTTTTAAAACAGTTTCTCAAAAAATTATTTTTATGAAAAGACAATAAATAGGTCCAAAATGAAAAAACAATTACATGTTAAAAAAAAATAAGGTCAGTTCTTAGCAATATAAAAGGACATTTAAGAGAGTAAAACATCCCTATTTAAAAAAAACCAACAATTAATACACATTGAAATTGTGCTTATTTCTTATTTGTAGGTGATACAATCGTGGCAGTGGAATGTCAATGTTTAGAATAAAATTAAAGTTAGAAATAATTGTTTTAAAGAATGATCTAGGTGTAAAAATGCTTGAGAGAAGTATAAGAAAGTTAAGAATGTGACCAAGAAGTAAGTGGAGCAATAATTCAAGTTTTTGATCGATTATACCAATCTTTGAGAATCAATGAGGAAGAAAATCGATATATAGGCTTTCCAAGCAAAGAAAAAGAAAGATAGGAGATTTGTATCAAGTGAAATGTGTTAAAGATGAAGATGAGAAAATATTGGTTCAAGAAAAGGATATAAAGGATAAGTGGAAGACATATTTATACAATTTATTTAGTAAATGATATATCTCATTAGACTCTAGCAGACTCAACATTAGAGAAGATGATAGAAACTATAATTACTACTGTCAGATTTAGAAATAAAAGATAAAATAAGCATTGAAAAAGATGAGTAATAGTAAGGCGGTTGTGCCATATAACATATCTATTGAAGTGTGAAAAGTTCTTGGAGATAGAGGTATTGAGTGACTTACTAAACTCTTTAATGAAATTATGAAGTCAAAGAAAATGTCGGATGAATGAAGAAGAAACACTTTATTTCTAATCTCTAAGAATAAGGGTGATACATAAAATTGTGCAAATTATATGGAGATTATACTTATGAATCATACCATGAAGTTATGAGAAAGAGTGATTAGACGAAGACTAAGAAAAAAAACTCAAGTCGCTGATAATCAATGTGATTTTATGCTTGAGATGTTGACCATGGAATCAATAAATAACCGAGGTATAATTTATGAGTGCACTATATTAATTTTTCAAAAAAATATCATTTATTCTCTCGGTTGGAGTAGGAAACCGAGGAGAAAACTAACTCAGTGACACACTTTGAATCCTAATAATTGCAGTTTATCTTTTAATTTCTTTTTAATGATTTATTTTATTTCACAGTGTTGTGCCTTTCTTCATAATTTAATTTTAAATAAAAATTAAGGCACTTTTCAACTCGGTTGTGATTTTCAACTGCGGCGAAAGGGTTTACACTTATATATAGCTTAGCTTATAAGTTTCTTTAGCTTCACTTGCCTAAAGCAACATACCCAGAACTCTCACAAAATTTATCATCTACATTAATAACAAGAGCCCTAAACACTTATCATCTTTAACTTATTCACCATCATATCATAACTCCATACCCATATCTTCTCCAACTCGAAAAAAAATAAGAAAAATACAAAGGTGATATGTTTTAAGGACTCTCGGTTCGATACTTACAAGAAGGAAATACCCAAATATTTTTTTTTTTAATTTCTTCTTCACATATCCTATGTTGGAGAAATTTCCAAAATATTAAATTGATAAATAATAATGGTTAAATTAACAAAATAAATGGCCAAAAGTTGCAATTCTCTAGAATAGAACCAGAGACCCTATAATGATTGGGTGTTGTTGCACCCCAAAATTTGCCCAACCTTTCCTTAACTTGGTTTATGTTTCATTTCATTTCTTTCTAGCATTTGCATTGCATAGCATGTTGCATTGAATAGGGGATCAAGAGTTTGTGCATAACAAGAGGAGTCTTCTCAGAGTATTGAGCCTAAGCAAGGGTTGTTACTCAAGCTTGAATGGTCATCAGGACATCTTGAAATGGACATTGGTCTTGTGAAAGAAAGGATGGATGTGTGTGGGTCAGATCCTAACCTGAAGGCCAGTTCAAGATCATCAGAGGTTTATGATTCATGGTTATGGATAAAAGATTTTGAGAAAGCTCATTGAGTTCCTTGAAGGTCATTGTGGAGCTCATCCAAGTGTTTGTGCTAAGTGTGAAAGGTTACAGTTGAAGGTGTTGCAGTTAGGGTTTCCATCTGGCTAATCCTCAACCAACTGTGCCATTGAAGGAGATTAAAACTCAATTCAAGGTCTCTATGGTCATGGGATGTTGTGTTTATATATATGAGATATCATTTCAAGTTCAATTCATCAAGGATCAAGTGTGTGAGAAGTTACTAAATTAGGGTTCTTAGGGTAAAATCCCCTATTTAGTGCCTGACTTCAAGACCACCTATCTCAAGATACAAGTTTCATCTCAACTTTTGGCCAACATGGAACTTGTAGAGCATGTTCTTCGCTTTAATTTGAGTACTAGAAGTCCTTGATTGGATTTATAGAACTCAAGTTATGATCCAGACAAGTTACAGGTCATCAGAAGGATGTGATTTTGATCAACAAAAGTCAACCAACTTCCAAGCTATTTTTGACCTATAAGGATGTTTCTCCTCAACTTTTGGCCAACATGAAAGTTGTAGGTCTTGATCTTATCTTTCCAAATTGTACTAGAAGTCTTTCATCTGATTCGTAGAACTCAAGTTATGATCCTCGCGATGAGTAGATGGATTTTCATCTAAGAAACGTTGAAAATGGTTGAGAAACGCGTACTGTGTATGGTTGAGGGTGTCCCGCGGCGGCCGGAACGGACAAGGAAGACGATCGGATTTCTTTTCCGGCACCGACGACGGTTTGGTGGGGAAGACGCTTACATGGCGTCGTGTGGTCCGTCCGATCGGGCTACTTTGATGTTTGCGGTCTTGATTAAGACATTCCATAGTCCATCTTTGACTATTTGTATTGGATTTTTCATTAATGTGTTGGCAATGTATTATCCACTTGATGAGATTACTAGTCTTTTGATCACATGATTCACAATGAATTCCATGATGCACCTTAGTCAACACACTACATGCAATTATTCAGAATTTATTTGATCTTTTCTTGCTGGGCCTAATGTACCGTGCGCTACTTGCACCCCCAGGGAGGCCCAATCCATGTTTTGCACTTCAATTTGTTGCAATTTGTCACACTGTTTTATTATTTTAATAGCAGTTTTTTTAATATTCTATTTTGTTGTTGTTTCATTTTAAATCAAATAAAATAGTTCCAATATCCTAAAAATTCCCCAAAAATATTTTTTATGAACTTTAAGATGTCTAGTTTTTTCTGGATATTTTATTTTATTTTTTAATTTTATTTTCAAATTTAAAATGAATTAAATATTGGGACTGTTTTAATTGAATTAAATTGAGATCTTGCTTGTTCTTTTAATTGTTTCTCCCATTTCTTTTTGGTTCAATGAGTGAAAATCAATCCTCATGTTTATCATGAGTTGAGGGATTTTTGACGACCATTTTTCCCCTGGTTGTTGACTTTTGAGTTGACTTTTGTGGCTTTTCTTTTTGCTCTTGTTTCTCCCATTTCAAAGTGGTACCTCCTATTGATTTTTTCTGTTGAGGGTGCTTTGAGGGGATATTTGGCTTGTGCTTGTGGCCTCTGTCTTCCAACATGTTTAGCTTGCTTGTGTATTTTATTTGGTAATTTCTAAGCTGTTTTCCTATTTTTGAGATACCTTACAAGTTAGGTCATCCCATATGGAAGCTCACACAAGTACATGACCTAGTTTGAATTGGAAATGACTTCTATGGATCCAATAAGCTCTCAACTCTTCTTGTTTCACATTCTAGACATGTTGAGCTTTCTGTAGGTTCATTTTTAGGTCAAAATTATGTTCATTGCTTGTTGGTTTGTGTGTTTATTTTCATGTTTTTTGTTTGCCTTCTTTGGTGCATTAGTGTGGTCTGCTCTTGTTGCATTTCTTCTCCTCTTCTCTTGCATTTATTCATACTATGACTTGAGGTTGAGATGAGCTTGTGGAGGCTCCAGCCCCACACATATTTCCTCCCTCACTTGCATTGCATCCTTGCCTTCCATGTTTGCATTTCATGTTTGCATTCTTATGCATGTTTCTTTCTTCTTCCTTTGTCTTCCTTCCCTTAAGATTTCTATTCCTTCTTGTTTAAGTTGGAGTGTTATAGAAATTAGGGTTCTAACCATGCATGATAACATTAGGTAGAGATTTCCCTTTTGTAATCCCAACTTTAGGTGCACTTTGCATGACAACTTTTAGGG